CGTTCATATTAGCAATAGACGGATTGCGATCTTCGAGCTAACCGTCTTTTCAGGTTTGTCCGGAAACATGCGAATTTCTTTTTACCAGTCGATACAGCAGAGTCTCTAGATTCAGAATAATATTAATTTTACCGAGCAATTACTTTATCGTGAAAAGGTGGAAAGTTTGTTAAACATTACGAACGAGCATAATTCGGTTTTGGTGTCGATGAGTCTGATATTGTTTCAACTGCACAGAATGTGTTGGACACGACGAACATATCAATTATTTTATCCTCAATAACCAAATATGAGCGTATGCATAACTCGAAAACTCATGCTGATCTGCAGTGATCAACTGTCAGTGAAACGATTTTACTGAGTGTTCAGCTAAACGAAGAGGAATGAATGATTCACATAATAGAATCATCTCGACGAATCTCTGTATCTTATCAGCAACGTATATAAGCTTCGAAACCTCTAAGATAGTTCAGATATAACTGTAGAGGATGCATATCCTTTCTGATTGAGTAGAGGGATAGCCACATTTCGAGTTGTCGCTGCACCAAGTTAAGATTTAAAGTATCTGCTCGTGAAAGTAACGAGAAACAGATTATTTCGTGATAATGTTCATTCGATGCTTCTGTCATGCAACTGCTGTGCCCATAATCAGGCTCTCTGGATGCTTGCTCATTTTACCTAAATTTCGAGGAATTTCATATGGAATTCGAATTTTCCAACTTCTCCGTTCAATTTCTGCTTCTACCAATCAATTTTTAGGTTCACAGCGCACATTCGACTGATCGATGTAACTTATAGGGTAAGGCAATGTGAACCTATGATATGAAAGTCTTTGAAGAGCAGTACTTATACTGATTCTCTACTCAACCTCTACCGATGTTCATGACCAAATCTCAGAAGCAATACCTGATGAGATGTGCTCAATTCGGCAAATCTAGCTATTCTACGTACAGACGTATTCCAAGAAATACGGCTCCACAAATGTATTTCAACAAAAAAATTGTTCCTATAAGATGTTGTTAATCCTTTTCTCATAGTCTTCTGAAGTGACCGTTTCAAACATCTATGTTATTTAGATGGATATAGGATATCCCAAGGGATATGCGATATACATAGGTTAATCCATTTAACATGGATTTAGCGTGTGCTGCTGCAAAGATCATTGAGTCGAGTATAAACCAATATAAATGCTCGAACGCAATTCAATTGTTACTATAGTAACGCTCCTCGATGAATAAACGCACTGACTGACATCTTTTTGCATTTATGCCTACATTGCAAAATGGAACGACGATAATCGCTCGGCTCTATGAAAGGCCTTAATTATCTAATCTTTGCTGCATGTAATAGCTCTTAAATGCTTATAGCAATTACTTGCTTAGAGCACTCAAACCTTACAAGCTTACTTCCACCTATATGACCACTAGTAAGGCTTTTAATCCTTCTTAATCCGTCGTTATAATAACCACCGATTTTGATCACTTCACTAGATCCGTAGGTTGTTCGGCTGGTGCCAGTAGCTTCAATTGTGTTCATTGACGATGTTTCGACAAATCGCTTCATGGAGCAATGCATAATTTCCATGATCATTCCAGATGAATTTTTGGAAATTACTGAACATTTTAAATGTTAACGTTACTAAAATACTTTGAAGTTTATTCAGCAAAATATCCCGATTCCTAGATTCCTAACTGATTCCTATAGAAGTTTCATGTTTGACACAACAAACTGTTTGTGAATTTATATTAACTGCAAAGATTCATATTTCGGAAGTACTGCAACTTCGCCTATTGCTTCTCGACTTCTCAGCTCAAGTTGTTTGTTTTAATGAACTTTCAACAATGTTCATGCTGAAAATTGTTTCATTATCGCTTTCAAAGTTCACGTTTATTACTGTTCCGCGTTGACTATCAATTTGTGTACTGGTTCACGGATCGCCGTCATCATGCTTGCCGTATTTTTGGCGGTGTCGATGAGTTCATGTACAGTCACCGCACTGCAATGCTACAGTTGTGTATCTCAACTGCCCGCTTCCACACCTGCAAATGCCCAACATGCACTCAAAGCGATTCTCTATTCTGCTTATCACATTCCTGCAGTGAGCAAATGGTGTGCTGATTCATCAGGTCTTAACTTCAAAACAGTTCCAGATCGGGAGTGCTCTTATGGAGACGCTTGTCTGAAGATTTCTGTGCGAAAACAAGGTGAGTGAGGCATCTGATGTGTTCATTTGGTATTGTTAGCGAATTTTGTAAAAGTTAGCAATTTCATGACGCTGAGGGTAAGTAGGTGGTTCCTTCGATTTGTCTTGTGATTGATTAGGGAAACATGGAAAGAAGACTTAGGTTTGTCAAATGTGTATGCCTGGAGGTGCATCTTTCAATGAAGCGATCAGATATGTACTTGATTATCAATTTGTACTTGATTATCAAAGAAATTATTCTTGATTGTCAAGCTGCAATCGCTAAATACAAACGAGTTTCACTGAATCACCACCATCTAAATTGATATAATTCGTTGTAACCTACAATTTCTGAATGCATAATACTGATCCCGAGTTTCCTAGCACCCAGCTGCCTTCTACCACCTATTGTCAGATCAATTAAAGCCGTTGAGCAGCCCGTTTGGAGGATTCTTAGAATTTTATGTAATTTTTGCTTCTAATTGCAGTGAGCAAATTAATTTGATTTCTTTGATGCTTCAATGCTGAGCAATATCAGAAAGCTGAAGGATTTAAATTTACAATTTAAAATTCGGAAATTTAGGTTTACGCTTCGTGATTCGCGGTTGTGAGAGTGAGTTGTATCGTGAAGGTGTGCTGAAAGGTGGCAGAATTTATTGCTCGAATGATGAAAGCCCATCGATTTGTCGATGTACGGAATCACTGTGTAATTCCGCTGAATCCATGCGGCAGCAGTCCTATTCCTCACTGGAATCGTTGATTTTCATTCTCTCGATCATGCTTCTCACTGAGGTCAGCCTAGTATTCTATGCAGTTTCATAGCGGTTGTCCAGTTGAACAATGTTTGCATTTACTTTTTGATCTAATTTGTTCGATCAGCTAACATTGAGGTGCTCACTTGTTTCGTAGAAATTATCATTTGTTCAGTGCGAACCTCAGTATCGTCCAGTTTCACCCCCATATCGCTGTTAATGTCATGGCTCCTTTCGTCTTTTTCCTCGTATTCACAATTCTGATTAAGCCAGTGTAAGATAAATCAATTGAACCGCAGATTCCGACATAACAACTTGTTCAAATGATGGCAAACCATTTCAGCGAAACTTAAAATCTTTTTCATCCATCATATAAAGTTTATTTGTATTATAGCATGATCGCATAGCAAGTCTCCAAATTCAAATGTCTTGTCTCTCAAATGTCTGCGGATGATTTTTTTACCATTATTAATTTTCACTGTTCACTGCAAATCCAATTCTGCCCAAGTTTCCTCAGCAATTGAAAATATTTGTTAAGCGTTCGTATAATTACTATTGTAAAAGAGTTTATTTGAATGAATACTATAAAGGATGTAACAACAACAATCGTAATATAAACACAACATTAACGAAACAAAAAATGACTCGAAACGGTGACAACAATACGAATAAATTGGTGGCTGAGGATGCCTTTGTTCGATACGAACCCGTTTTGCACATATCCCTTGAATATTCGTTCAACTCAACGTTATACTCTTCAACGAAACTTTTCGGTGGCTCAATGTGTAAGCACGTTTCCACCAAATACCAACCGCTTGGATGCAAATCGGTTAGCTCTATTTCCAGTTGTTTGTCCAACTGAAATATCATAATTTGGTCAGAAAAATCAGAAAAAATCACAATCTAACGATCATAATATCATAAAGTTGATCATAAACATTCCCTTAAAGTAGCCAGATTAAGTTTATATCTTACGAATCTAGATGTTCGCAGGCAAACTTCATACATCTCTTTAGATAGATCACCTAACTGAGATGTTCAAATCTCAGTTGTTTTTTTTCAGTTATACTCATCATAACCAGTCATACTCTCTAGAAACTGCACGAGAATAAGTTCTGAAAGCCGATAGCTCAAGGGATACAGAATAGGCCTGACTCCCAAAATTCAACCGCTACAATTAGATAAAATTTCCCTTTCAATGAACCTGCAGTTGAGCGGATTACTCCCATTGTGATTGCCCTGCTTATAACAACTGTAATTGCAAACAATGGTTTTTCCCATTCAAGAATACAATCTTCGATGTCAACTTGATATCCAATGAGATCAGTAATATTCAAAAACCATTCTCTTTCCAGCAAAAGTTTCGATTGGAAGCGGATGGAGATTTTGCTCGAGATAGCTGTCGTTATTTTTTTTTCTTGAGGAGGAGTGGGGAGGGGGTTGAATTAGGCTGTGATTAGGCTTGTATCCAGCCAAATATTCGTATCGGATGATATGTTATCGATGGTGACTCAACCAACGTACCTGAGGTATTTGTTCATATTTGGCTAATCGTTTATCACGAGCCTGATCCTTCACAGTGATCTGCACGGATGTCCATTTGATGAATGGATAGCGTTTTCCAATCTTCATCCACATCGTCATACTATCGTTGCGTATCACACTGATTGAATTCAACATCCAAATGTCGGCACATTCACTCGTGAACTCATTATCGCATAACGCCTCCAGATGACACTGTGAACATCCACTTGACTTTGTGTAGCATATCAAATACCAACGACTCGTCTCAATTGATTCTGAAATGCTGACGTACTGAATGCATTTGTTGACATTCTGAATGCATGTACTCTAGGATTTATTATATTTTTATTATCGTAAGTACGATAATGGGATTGTAACAATCTCTTCATTCAGAAAAACATATATTTTGTCGAGTGATTTTACATTCCTGAGGTGGTGTAGCCATTTTCTGGAGATATATCCCAATTCAATAGCGCAGTCGCGCTCATTCATACAAATTGATCACTATAGACGGAGAATACCGTTGGAAGTGATTATACTATGGTTTGAAGTTATCATTAAGATTAAATGAGTTGCATCATTGTTCAATTTTTGGACAATTTCAATCATTTTAAAACGCAACCTGACTGAAGTCAAATATTTCGCTCGAATTCGGGGTTTAGATAAACGGTTTGTGATAGAGCAGTGGTTTCTCACGTTTGGGTGCTCCATTACCCCTTATGACGATCCGGCAGGCCGCCGCTACCCTCCCCCCCCCTGATACAAAAACTTAAAATCAGTGCCCTGGACCGTTGTTTTGATCATTATTGCAATCGATTATGATTGCATGAAAAGCTATTGTCTGTCACAGGCCCATTTAAAACTGTTATAGCTAGATTCTCATTCTTTTCAGACGTGTTGTATTCGCTCTCATAGCTATTGCATGAGAATACCGTTCTCTTCATGACTTTTTCTCATTCACTTCGTCTCATTACACTTCACAGTTCGAATCAACTTCTCATTCAGTAGCATATACTATTTACTGAATGCGTTGACGAGTGTTGACAGTCGAAATCAACAATACAACAATCGAATTGAATTGCTCAATAACATTCGACAGTCCACTGATCAATTATAGAGTGTATTCGATAGAATGAGAATTTGATTTTAACTGTTGAGTGAAATGAGTGAGAAATTAGCAGAAGAGAACACTTTTGGTGACAACAGCTATGAGAGCGACTATAACAGCACGGAAAAGAATGAAAACACTCTTAAAACAAATGAAAAACCCTGTTAGGCCCGGACGAGCCAATGATACTCAGAAAATAGAGGAATGAAGAATGTCGCTATCAAATAACCGCAAATCCGAGTTAAAAAACACCACTACAATGACTTTCGATCATAAAATAACAATTGCACGAAATACTAATTTCCCGACCCCCTCCATCACCCCTTGACACCTCCAACTTACCCAAAATGGATAATTTCACCCCTATGAGAAGCGCTGTGATAGAGAGTAGAACTTTATATCAGATAGTCAAAATTTTAACGACTTCAGTTTATGGATTCCAACCCTCCATTCAACAATCATCTCAACTGAGTTGCAATCGTTTTTCATCCGTTTTTGCTGATATATTACTGAGATAATACGAAATATGCAACGATAAAAGAACAAAAGGAGTATTTTTTTGTATGTGATCAACTGAAACATTTCACTTGCAAAGTAACTTTCACCATAAATCTCACTACCAAATCAAAATTTGGCTAACAGTAGCCAGAAACCCGAACAAAGTTCCATCAAATCATCAAACCTGGCGGAATGGTGAGTGTTTGTCCAATATGGTGCGTACATTTGTTGCCTTCTCTTGGTTCTGCATAGCCAAGAGTGGGCTCTGATTTATCGTCACACACAGACACCTGCAACTCAGACCAGATATCGTTGGGTTCAAACTCGAAGTTCTTCTCGAACGCCAATGTGCCTCGACGCCAACGGTGTGCCTCTACATTGACCGGCCACAACTTCACCGATGAAATGTTACAGCAAACTTGAAGCTGAAAACATTCTTACGGTTAGTAAGACGTGACTAACAAACTGATTGTGGTACAAGCAATATGCTCTGCGATCATTCGCTTCACTTTTTTCTGCGATGGCTATTCGAAATTTCAGTCTATTGGCATATCGAAAATGATCTTTTGAAAATTCTCTTGAAACTTTTAGTGAATATTTCTTCGGCAATAGTTACAATAAATTGCAAAAGTTTACAATGATTCATTTTTCAGATATTCCATAATTTTTGATATCCAGATGATCCTCACTAATCCCCGCATGCACGAAGCTAAAGTGAGTCGTGAAGCTAAATTTGTTCATAAACAACCATTTATATTCATCTTGTGGAAACGAACATGTCAAAAGCAATGTAATCTACTGATAGTTGCATCCGTTCTTCTATCGGATTGTGTGTGCATTGAACTTTACGCATTATTCGGAATTGTTCTCATTACGAACGTATAGAGCTCAGTTGCTCAGTTAAGCGTTACTCAGCTAACACTTCACGCCATAAATTAGATGAAAGCTGAGCTGAATGAAGAAATTCAGGAGAGAGCTCAAAATCGGCGATATCGTTTAGGCAGACGATATATTTTATGAAACAGAAGATCAAATGAAGTCCAACGATATACGCGTATTCATTTGTGTTGCTTCGAGGAGACTATTGCGAGATAATCAAGCCGAATAAATCCTTCTTGCTTCGTTCTTCTAATGGGATTTTTGCAAATCTTATTTGACATTAAAGTGAGGTTTCTCGCATGTTTTCCAATCGTGATTACCAATTCGGAATTCTAAAATGATTTGATGGTTGTTGATTGAATGTGCATCTATTTGCACACACATTCACTGCGTGGCTGCATGCATCTGATAATTTCATTTTCTTGTGTGACTTTGCATTTGCGCAGATAAGAAGAAATAAGGATCTACCATATCTACCAAATAATGCTGTCGCCAAGCGAAATTCAAGTCTGCAAACGTCTAAGGCGAATGTGTGCTTATGTCAAACTAAATGAGGAGAATAGTAGTTGTTTTGTGGTCTCTTCGAATGTGAAACATGACAACAATTCACGTCTGTGTTCA